AAAAAAAAGATGACATGCATTCTAGATTAGCTCATTAATTTCATTCATTTTATTTTATTAGCTAAGGAGGATTAGGTTGCAGTATGTATAGAAAGTTAAGAGAAGTGAATGCTCTAATATACGACAGTACCTGTGCTCTAAAGAAAAGCCCAAATCGATTTTAAAAAATACTATAGTGGGGCACTTGCTTTGATATGTTTTTTAAAGTAAGTCTTCTTAGAATCTAATATAGACTCTCGCTTAATACTGTCAAAATCTATTTGAGCATTCACATATAAATAAATCAATGAGACTGATATTTATTATTCTCAACTTTTTATACATTCTGCATTACATTCATTTAGAGCATATCCCTCCTTGAAAAAGAATAAATGAGAATAAAAAGGGAAATTAACCTATGTGCGTTAGTCGGAAGTAATGGAAGCAAACCGTGCATAAAGAGTTTAGGGTAAATCATCAAGCTGCCCTAAGAGGACAAAGCCGTGTCGTGCAACCATGAAATCTAGGCGGAATAGGAATGGACGAATCCACACTCCTAACGAGTTGTAAGCACCTGAGGAGGATGAATCTCTCAAACACTAACGCAAAGCAATTAGAGATTTCTCGAAAGGTGATTTCAACAAGAGAGAAGCATTGCTTGTTAAGAAGCTGCTAGAATGAAAACCTACAAAGGGCGTTCTAGGCAAAAAAAAAAAAAAAGCAATGTTTGTTCGAGCTGTAAATCGAGAGATAGCTTAAATGTTCTTCTTTAGACTTCATAGTAAGCTCTATCATTGCTTCTACCCATTCCTAATGGGAATGACTCCTATATGAATTCTTTCTTAATCTTTATTGAATTAGCTTAAGGAACAACTAATATGCAATGCTTATGTTCCATTTTAAACCATTTTAATCATACAAGCATATTAATCAAAGCTAGCCATCTTAACATTCAGTTAAAGATTGTTCAATGTAAGAGATAAGGATGAGAGAAGAGTTCAAAGTGTTTTATCCTGGTTCAGCCACTCCACATGTGACCTACATCCATCCTCAATCATAACCTAATAAAGATTTGTTCCACTATCTCAATGAAGAAATTTTACAAGCATACCACATATGCACACACATCAACACTCATTTTCTTGCACCCAAGAAAGCACTTCTTGTAGAAACCTACTACAAGAATTCCTTACCACTTAAGACACCTACTCAAGATTTCTTTACACATTACACAAATAATTAAAGGAACGAATTCACCTGGAAGCTGAACAAATCAGAATGTGAATTCTTGACAAGTCTCAATCCTTATCTTCCAAGAATGTAGTGATGATGATGATCTCTCTCAAAGCATTTCACAAAATGTTTTTCTTCTTGGTTTCACAAAGAAAACACTCCAAGAAAGTCACAAAGACTTCACAAAATAGTAGTATACTCTCTTCTTTTCTCTGTTCCTCTCTTTTCTTGTTTCAAAGTGTGAAAACTATTTATAGAGTTTTCCAGACCCAGATAATCGATTATTTTTAAGGATAATCGATTATTTTGTTCTTCAAGAATTCTGGAAATCACTTAAGAACAGAATAATCAATTATTTTGGAGGATAATCGATTATTCTAGAGAGTACTTCCTGGAATAATCGATTATTTCACAGATAATTGATTATTACAGCAAGGTTATCTGAACCTCTTGCTAGAATAATAGATTATAGTTAATAATAATCGATTATTTTGAGTTAGTTTTCAAAAATTTGATTTCACACTTTAGAAAACTTTCCAAGTTATTTGAATCATCATCATACTCATTCTTAGTCAATTTAGATTAAGATTAACTCATGCACAAAGCATACACATGCAAAATAAACTCAACAAGGCAACTCAACATATAAGAACATATAAACTACAGGCAAACATATAGAAGGAACCTCTAGGCCCAAAAACTAACATACACATACCCATATCACCCAAAGTGAAGGGTTCTATGGTAGTCATCACTATGATGATTATTATCAAAGACTCCCTAGGCAAAAAAGGCCTAGGCATGAACATAGAAAACCTAAAGTTGACCTTCCCCACTTCTATGATAGAGGCAATGAAGAAAAATATCTAGATTGAGAGATGAAGGTGGAACAACTCTTTACTTGCCACAAAGTGAGTGAAGAGAAAAAGGTTCCAATGGTTACCTTGAGCTTTCAAGGGAATGTCATGTATTGGTGGACCTCCTTAAAAAGAGAGAAAAGATTTAGAGATGACTCTCCAACTTAATATTGGAATGATCTAAGGAGAACCTTAAAGATAAGGTATATACCTTCATATTATGCTAGATAGTTAATGGACAAGCTCCAAAGACTCCAACAAAGAAGCCCTAGTATAGAAGAGTATAGACAAACCATGAAGCTTTATACGATGAGGGCAGAATTTAGGGAGGAAGAAAAAACCACCATTACTATATTCCAAAGTGGACTTGATCTTGAGATTAGAGATAGGGCTGAACTTTTATTCTATAGAGATTTAAATGAACTACTCCATCTTTGCATTAGGGTAGAACAA